AATCCCATCATGGGGGTAGACACTCAGTACAGCTGACGCGTTTCGAAGGACGTACCTTCTTCCTCAGAGCTCTGAGGAAGAAGGTACGTCCTTCGAAACGCGTCAACTGTACTGAGTGTCTACCCCCATGATGGGATTTGCGCTGGCCTCTTGTTTCTAAAGTACCATTCTTTTACTAATAAATTTTGGTTACTGAGGTAATGCGCAAGGTTGGTGCGCTTCTTGTTTTTTTCACTTTGCAGTATTGTTCGGGCTTCCCCAGCCTTGTTTTGGAGCTGCATGACCTTCTATGCTCTGGTGGTCATTTCGTTTGGGTTTGATTTCACCTACTCACCACCGGCCTGGGTCCTGGAGTGCACGAGGAATCGTATTTTGTCTACAATTTAGACAGGAACCAATGCACCTACTAGCATATCTTTGGAGTGTGGGAGGAAACTGGTGTACCCGGAGGAAACCCACGCATGCACAGGGAGAACATGCAAACTCCAGGCAGGTGGTGCCGTGGTGGGGATTCAAACCAATGACCCTAGTACTTCCAGGCGGAAGTGCTAACAATTTAGCCACTGTGGTGCCCCAATATGAATCACAAAAGTGGCTGAACAGAATTGCAAATCTTTCAGAATATAAGACTGGAGACATATGTGTATTTCAACTACATATTTAGTGGTTTCCTTAGAGATGTTCCTGTTTTTAAAGCTTTGTTTTTTTTTAAAGGAAAAAAATCTGTGAGCATAACTCAAACAGTTGCTGCTAGTTCAGAGATCATTTTACTGTTTTGCATATAACTGTTAATATTATCAATGATTAGAATATCAAAGGGAAGCTTAATTTGGGGGGTTGTATGCTTAAGTATTCACACAGCTAACATTTTTCTGTGATTTCTTTAAAGTTTATAAATTACTTATTTGATGAATATTAAAGCTGACTGATGTGCAAGTTCCCATAATAATTTGGATAGCTTTTTTTTTTAATTATTTTGACTCAGAGAGCAGTCAGTCTGTTTGGGGTCTACGGTATTTAGTGTTATCAGGCAAATAGCCAATGATTTTCTATTGAGGAATATATGTTAAAGCAAAACTATCATTAGCTTTACAGGCCTGCATGAAAAAAACAACAACACTGTCTTGTTATACAACAATTGTAATAAAGCTGTTCTTTTAATCTTTATAGGACAGTGCACCTGGTAAAAACATACCTTCCTCCTCATTCCTGTATCTTTCACTGTGTGGCCTGCCTTGCACCACACAGCCTTTGGAAAGACAGCATCCTGGCTGGATTCTCCCCTTACTGCATACATTCACAGTGACCCAATACATTCCTATAGTTGGGGACTTACTTTACTATAGTGGATGACTGTAGACTGCCATGTGTATAGTTCACCCATGGGAATGCATGGAGCCTTGGGCATGTGTGTAGTAAGAGCGCCTGTCCTAGATGTCTAATTTTCCAAAGGCTGTGCAGTGTTAGGCAGAGCCCACACAGTGAAGATCACTGGAAAAGGCAGGGCCCACGCAGCGAAGATCACTGGAACAGGGACAAATGTAAGTATTGTTATCAGGGGGCTATACTCAGGGGGGTGAGGGTCACTTAAAGTACAACTGTGACTAGACTGATAGGAGCATTTTGCGAGAATGATGCCACCAATTTGCTGCAGGCTGATGGAAACCTGAAGAATCCTAATGATGCCAGGAATTCCCATACAACATTTCAGCTTCCCCCGCCAGACCGTGGGACTTCCCATACAACATGCACATTCCCATACAACATGGATGTAGGGCTGCTATTTGTAGAGCAATAAGATTATTTATGTTTAATACGTAACTAAAAATGGGGCGCCAATCTAGAATCCTCTAGTGGAATCAAGAGAAGCCGCCTTTAAAGTGTGACCAACACTATATATAAAAACATAAAATAAGGAAGGCGCTTCTGAAACTAATGAATGTACTAAAGATAATTTCCTAAATCAAAGGTGCAAATAATAATACAAATGATAAAATCCAAAAATTCAAAAACCATTATCTCATAGCAAGTCAAAAAATGTCCATAAATAGCAAAGAATGTCCCTAAAGTGAATAGTCCATGTAATGGCTCCACAGAAAATCTCTGTACACCATGTTCCCAAAACCAGTGATGAATATATATTTCAATAATCTAGTTTTCCACCACATGTGGTGAGATTAATAATTTACCAGATTTTCATCTTCAATAAGCATATCACGCTTCTCTGTTGCAAGCACCACCAGAAAAGGGTATCACCAAAGTGTTCTCATAAGTACTCTCTTGTGAATGGGATGTGACAACACATAAACTCAAAGAAAAAGGGGGTTTCTATAATGTAGTAAATTTTATTAAAATTGGAAAAAATACATAAAATTGATGCACTCACATAAAGTGTAGGATGGAATTGAGCACTGCACACCATCGCTTATACTATCTGAACCGGTGTGCATTCCACAGGCCGGATCCAACCCACCGGAAGTGACATGAACGGGGACTGGAAGTGATGGCAATGGCCAGGCCTTCACTTTATGGACATTTTTTGCTATTTATGAAATTTTTTTTAGCTTGCTATGAGATAATGGTTTTTGAATTTTTGGATTATTATTTGCACCTTTATTGATTTAAGTGGTTATCTTTAGTATAGTCATTGGTTTGAGTAGTGCCTTTCTTATTTTAATGTGAATGCTATCACCCAGTAAACCTTTTAAGCAATTTTTGGACTTAAGCAGGCCATATATGATGCAATGATTGCTCAATTTCCCTATCAACACATTTAGTCACACTGACTGTGTTGATGAGGGAATGCATACCGTGGAGCTATTGTGTTCTTCCGATGGGGTGGCACAGGGAGCCCTCACTGGCGGTCGGGAGAGCACAGTGATTATTGCTAGAGACTGTAGCTGCTGGCAGTAACTGCATGCTGAAAATCCGTCATGCTGGTTATAGCCAAGTCTGTCGATGGATGGATCGACCGACTTGGGTACAATCAACCTGCCCATAGACAGACAGACTGAATCTCGGCTGGTCCCTGCTGAAGTTTCTTCTTTAACCCCTTCCTCCCCACTGTCATTAGTACAGTGTCAGTGCTTTTTATTAGCACTGGTCACTCTTTTGGTGTCATTGGGATGTTAGTGGCAGTTAGTCAATCCCCACCCCGTGTCAGAATGCCCGCCGCAGTCCTGCTATAAGTCACTGATCACCGCCATTACTAGTATATAAACAAAAAAAAAAATTCTGGGTGTGTGTATATATACCACTATTTGTAGACACTATAACTTTCACATAAACCTATTAAATTACACGTATTGGGATTTTTTTTTCATCAAAGACATATAGCAGAATACAATTTGGCCTAAATTTATGATGAAATTTAATTTTTTTAAAATTTTTTGCTGGACATGTTTTATGGCAAAAAGTCAGAAATATAATTTTTCTTTTCTTCAAAATTGTCGTTCTTTTTGTGTTTATAGCAGAAAAAATAAAAACCGCACACGTGATTAAATTCCACCAAAACAAAGCTCTATTTGTGGGGATAAAGACTTCAATTTCATTTATGTACAGCGTTGCATGACCGCACAAATGTCAGTTAAAGTAACAGCACCATATCGCAAAAAATGGCCTGGTCAGGAAGGGATGTAAATCCTCTGGAGAACAAGTGGTTGTTGAACTGGGGTTGTTATTAGCACAATTAGAAAATTTTCAGAAAACAGAACTTTAAAAGGGTTTGTAAACCCAAACAATTACATTTTCTTGTCTGCTCCATTTTCATTTGTAAAAGCTGAATTCCAGGCATTAATTTAATCTCAGTGCAAATGTTTTTCTTTACTTTCAGCAATTTGCTGATTTTTTTTTTTTCTCCCCATTTGAAGTGAGAAGTCCACTTGATTCATTTTAACAAGACCGGTTGCCATTTTTTTTCTTAGCCACCAATCTTCTAATATCCTCTTAATAGTGTCCTAGTCAGTGGGAGGACTCAGGAGTCTTAGACTTTTGGTCTGTCCCACCCCACAATTACCTCAGACAGACAAGGACACTTCTAGCCTTTTTACCCCATCCATGCCTGCTGTAAGCAACATACACACCCCCAGATCAGCCCCCACTCACCACACCCACATCCATTCACAGCTACAACTCCCATAGCACCATGGGAATTGCAATTTCTACAAGTAGCGCCGCACAGTGAACAGATGCGACACTTGCTTTATACCTCCTCTGACATTAAATATACTGTACTATTGAAAGTGATCTGTTTATTAAGTACAACATATCCACTGAGCTGTTCATTTCCTGTAATGAGCTAAAATGCTGCACGAATATCTCAGCCCTACCTGGTTTACCTCTGTGAACTGCTGAACTCCTCTATCTCTTTTATGAGGGTAAGGAGAGGGGGATGTGTTCTGTAGTCATTTCATACACGTCATGTCCTAGGGTGACAGTGCTGCTCCTCCATAGACACAGTACAGTAAGTATTACCACCCTAGGACAGGAAGTGTGATTTGCTAATACTTGTAGTGCAGCTCTAAACAAAGAAGGAGATGGTCCCGCTGGTACTCAGGAATGGGGTGCTGGATGAAAATATCACCATCTAGTAGTGTGTAGCATGCTTAAAAGGGACGGTTCGCTGCTCAACCCAATCCAGTCTATGTGGTTAACATTTTTAAGATGGCCTCAGCCTTGCACCACTTCGCAAGCCAAGCCCTCTGCCATGCTACACATGTTAACCACATAGACTGGATTGGGTTGAGTGGCGAACTTTCTAAGCATAGGACAGGAAGTATGTTACTGACAGCATCTCCAGCATTTCAGAAAAAAAAAAAATCCTGAAAAAAGAAAACTAATGTAACTACCACTAATAATGGATAATAATAATCTAGTAATCTGCAACATATTGAATTTTTTCCTTGTGTTTTGAAAGACCTTAAGTGAGGCTGTTCCATAAAATCAGGGAACTTGCATCTTAGCATGCATCAGTTTTATAATGTACATATTTCTTTTTACAGGTGGAACACTATATCTGTCTGGAATTGACATGATACATGGAACTCCAGTTATTGACATCAAGCCATATATTGCAGAGTATGATTCTCCAAGACCAACGTACACATTTGTGGAGGACCCAGAAGAAAACAAAAAGGAACATGAGGGCAGTTGTGATACATCAGGAAACCGCCAAGAGCCATCTTCAGAACAATTTAATATAATTTGTCACAGTGTGGAAAATAACATTGAAGATAAAGCTGAGATATCTTGCAGTCATGGTGAAATATTAGATGACCATAAAGAAAGGGTGACTTTGGAGACTACTGATGGATCATCTCTTCATGTGGAAGAATCCTGTTCATTGCAGGAATATTCTTCCAGGCAACAAGGAAAGGATTTACATATACTAGATCAAGACACAGAGCTTACATATCAAGTGAACACAAGTAAAAAGGATGGTGAAGACAGAGACCGCACTTGTGATAGTTTTGTCCCAAACTGGGTGACAGAATCACCTGTGCCCAAGTTAAAGGTCAGGTTTACACCACATGCAGAAATGGAACTGAAGCAGTTTCAAGCAGCATGTGACAATGGTAAGATATACAACCTGCATGCTTCATTGGAATAAGTGTAGAATTCATTGTAATGGCGATATTTTGTAGCATGCTGTTCCATTACATAGTAGGATATCTTTTTACCATAGAATTACATTTCTAAAAAGACCAATCTACCAAAACATATTTTAGTTGTAGGTGGAGCCCAATAGGCAATATCAGCTCTTAGCTTCTTAAATGTCTTCACATACTCTAAGATGAGATCTCCCTGCTGTAGTTCCAACTAAATATCTATCCACTGTTCTGTGTGCAGAAACTCTCCCCTGAAAGACATGAGAAGCTATCAGATGGTTAACATCTCCACCATCTGCTGAAAACTGGAATGCCACTTCATCAACAATAATTTGTGGAATTTCTAATGGTCACCAGTAACTATGAAGTAAAAGATACTCTACTCTTCCCTTCTTAATTCAGACCTTTTAATAGCAGAAAAGCAATGGTAAAATACACTTACTGGCCACTTTATTAGGTACACCTGTTCAATTGCTTGGTAACACAAACTGTTAATGAGCCAATCACATGGCAGCAACTCAATGCCTTTAGGCATTAGATGTGGTAAAGCCGAGTTGCTGAAATTCAAACTGAGCATCAGAATAGGGAAGAAAGGGGATATAAGTACCTTTGAACGTGGCATGCTTGTTGGTGTCAGACAAGCTAGTCTGAGTATTTCAAAAACTGCTGATCTACTGGGCTTTCCACGCACAATCATCTCTAGAATGGTACAAAAAAGAGATAATATCCAGTGAGCAGCAGTAGTGTGGATGAAAATGCCTTGTTGATGTCAGAGGAGAATGGGCAGACCATTTGAGATGATAGATAGGCAACAGTAATTTAAATAACTTGTTACAACCAAAGTATGCAAAATACAGTCTCTGAATGCACAACACATAGAACCTTGAAGCAGATGGACTACAGCAGGAGAAGACCACACTGGGTAGCAAGGTGTACCTAATATTGTGACCGGTGAGTGTATATGCATGCAAGCAGGTCATTATTTCATTTTATACTGAATACAGATTTTTATTAACATTTCATAGCTGATCTAAGCAAACTGGTCACCCTAAAAATATTTTTTACATCTCTTAAACCCTTGCCCATAGCTATATTTTAGTTTTTCAACTCAGTCAAAATATTCAATCTGCACAGCTAAAACACTACACAACAAAATAAAAAATAAGAATTCATAAAAACAACCCATCTTTGTTAGGTTGCTGCTGTGACACTGTTAGAATGGATCCACAACACTCCCTTATGAAATATATAACACCATAAAAGCGCTACGCAACCATACATCATCCAATTTGTGTCATACATTTATAACTTCTCCATAACCATACAAAACATCAGCAACAAACAAAATTTTACATATGACAAATCATTAAAAAAAAAAAAAAGTGTCTAACATCCCAGTTGTGTCCCCCAATTCCACAGCATCCATCAGTTGGATGTCTGAAACTCTGGCACACTAGTGTTCTATAGTTGGAAGGTGAGTAGATTTCCAGAGAGCTGGTATGCATGCATTTGCAGCGTTCAAAAGGTGTCACAGTAATGAATTATTGTACCACTTATACGAAATTAGCGTGTCATGTAAAAGGTAAGTGGTGGGACCATCCAGTCAACTCTTTAATAGAAGACTTAGCCTCTGACCAAAAAAGTAAAGCATGCTGGGCAGTCCCAGAATATGACAGTTTTTTCTTTTTCAAAGTTTTTTAAACTTTGTTTGTTGTTGATGTGTTGTATGGTTATGGAGAAGTTATAGGCATGTAATATAAATTGGATGATGTATGGTTGTAGTACACATTTATGGTGTTATATTTTATTTTTTGTAAATGAATAGAGTACTTTGATTCAACCTAGAATGTATAAAAAAAACCTCAAAATTTGACCACGCTTTCCTTATTTGTGCACTCCAAATACAGTGAAAAAATATAGAAAATGTAGTTATAAATACATCAAAATATTGTCCATTCACACCTTCATAAAGTCCACAATAGTGAGCAGTGCAGATATATTCACATGATTCTGTGCCACCATACACCATGCTTCTCCTCTTCACCAACACAGAGACATACTGCACTCACCAGTGGGTAATGGCTTCCTTAATTAAAACAAAGTCACCATTCGCTTTCCTAGTATCAACTGTTCATCTCCATAGACTGCTATTATACTCCACCATTACACTTGTTTTAGATGTAAGAACCAGATGGTTTAAACAGCACTCTTGCATCATACAGAGGACTCCATAATACCAAGCCCATGTCAGAGAAGAGATAAAAAGCCTTATATAGTGTAATTAAAGGAAATAATTAAAATGCACTTGCAAGTAAAATCACATAGGCATGTAAACATATATGACAGAACGCCGGTTTTTGTTCCACCTGCACTCCAAAAACCAGAAGTGGCATAACCAGGAAGTTTAGCCCTATGAATTTCGTCAGCAGCATCTGACATCATCAGGAATCCGTGACCCCTGGACATTTAGTTTGATGATGAGCAGCTTGCAGTTTTTCTTATTTATAATTTTTTTTTACCTAAATAAAAAAATATCAATACAGTTGGGGTTTATATTTGTATATATACTTTTGTGCATATTTGCATTGGTGTGGGGTAATTAATTTAACCTAGAATGTTTTCCTTACTGAAATGGTACCCCTGCAGTAAAACTGTACTACTCTACTACTCCTGTTTCTGTGTATTGTAATGCTTGTAGAAAATATGGTAACAGAATTGGTCCTGCAAGCATGGTGCTTGAAATGAATAACCATAATTTACTTGCATGTTTTTATTTTTTTTTTTTAGGGGGACCATCCTTCCGTTATTTTTACTCATTTGAAGAAGCAAAGTGTGCAATCAGCACTGTGCTATCAGCTGACCCTCGTTCAGTTTACAGAAGAAATCGTTGCTTGGATCGTTTGTTTTACTTTACCCTTGACACCATGCATATGACATGCTGGTTTGGTGATGGGTTTGCAGAAGTAGTTAGAATACAGCCAGTCTCATCACAGGCTTAAAAGCCTGTAGTTTTGTACCTTGAGATTTAGACTATAATTTTATTGAAAAAAAAAACTGTTAAAAATATCTCCCAGATATATATTCCACCTTCAAAAAGAAGCCTGTCAGAGGAAGAACAACTAGTCCTACACTCACTCACCCAGAAACACATCTGCTGTGTAGCTTTGTTGGCACAGAGTGCCAACAAAGAATCAATGAGAGTGTGGAGTGCTTGCTTAAGCCTAGCCAAGAAAATTTTGACAAAACCACGCAGTCAATATCTTGCTGGGATCATGGACTAATGGCAGTGCTGGGGGCATGGAAGATTGCAAAGATGCAATTACACTTAATGGAGCAAAATGTTTCAAAATTGTAAAGGTAATAATGTTTTAGGCTGTTTTTATACCAATGAGTGCACATTAATGCACTTTATGAACATGCACTGCTCATGCGTTTAGGGGTACATCCCATTCATTATATTTTCACAGTACTGTGCAGTATGGTGCAGATATGTCACCAGCACACCTTAATTTATTCAGAAAGTCCAGTTTTATTGCAATATGATAAAATTGCACCATGGTACAATGTTTTAGAGCCAAGCAGGACTCCTTCATGAAAATTGAAAATTAAACCTCCATCAGTAGAACAACCCCTTTCAATCATTATAACATTATAATGATATCAGAATCCTGCAAAACACAAAATTTTTAATATCACATATGATATTAAGTATATTAAGGATCAATTATCTACATTGTCATATGAAAAAAAAAATAAAGGATTCCCTCCAAAAGTAACTAGACATTTGTGTAAAATCACTCATTGCTGGTTTACATTGATGCAGTGCGGGTAAACGCATGTGATTCGGACAGGAATTGCACTATATTCCTGGTCAAATCACATGCGATTCTTTGCAGTGTGGTTTGAGCTTATTCATTTTGTATGGCTCAAATTCCACCACACCCACATGAAGAAGGTGCATGCATCTTTTTTTTTGGCCGCACTGGAATTGCATCACATGATCTGATTCAGCCAATCACACTGCATTTTGTAAACTGTTTCTGGGGTGTCATCAACTTAACATTGACACCCTCAGTGGTTTGGGAATCGCTGTACGAATCGCTGCAAATTCCACACAGCATCAGTGTGAACCGGGACTCACTGTGCAGTAGTGCCATGCAGCTACCCCCCCCAGGCACCTGGTATAGTACTGTCAGTGTGCTTGTAAGTGCGATCACATACTTGGGTACTGAGGGATAGTATATCAAAGAGTCAAATACATTTTTTATTGCATTAGGCCAATAGGAAATGAATGAATGGGTCAATGCAATGCATAGTAACATGGCAACGCACATTCATAGGTTTGAATAGAATTTGACATGACTAAAAATGGCACTGATATTGTTCATTTGGTGTTAGCATAGCACAATGTTCCAGAATGCTAAATACTGCTTATAAGAGCCAGTATAAAAACGAAACATTGGATTCTGAGAAACCTGGTCATGAAAGCATAGTACAGAGAAAACTAAATATTTGGTTTTGTACTGTGGTTGAAATGCATTTTAAAGTAATAAAATATTTACAGGAATTGTTTTTTTTCTTTTAATAAAATGACAACTTCTGCTCTAAATGGAACACCATCTGGTTGTGACACCTCCATTAACTCAAAGATGACTGGTTTGAATCAAAATTGAAATCTGTATTTATCTGCAGTGCCATCTACTGCTGAAATCTGGGATTTTAGCACTTCAAATCAGGTATAGCATTCTTTTCTGAACTTTGGCTGGTCATACAAGATAGGTTTAGTTAGTTAAAAACTAGCTGAAATATTGGCCATTATCCTTGTCTTTTGTATGAAGATACATATGTTTGTTTCTGCCTCTTTCCCATATGCAGAGTCGAGTTTTAACTTGATCATTTATTAAGTGATTATAGCAGAGGCTGATCTTTTAAACAAACTACCATTACTACACCTGTCATCAAATATTAAGGGATTGTTCACACCATATGTGCATGAAAACTGATGGAAAATGACATGCAGATTTCACTTGTAGAGTCATCAGTTTACATCAGTTTTTATGCACGCTTTAATGAGTTTTATACATGTTGCAGATTCATGTGCAGAAAAAAATGTGGAGCCAAACACATCTCCCTGATGGTATGGCATGATCGATAAGTATCTGCCCATAGCTCTCAGCAATGAGGAGACCATTGATCCTGACCAAATCTCAAACTCCCTTTGCAGAAATATAGCCTCAAACTTGAAAGGAACCTCCACCATGCTTGACTGTTGCCTGCAGACACTTATTATTGTACTGCTTTCCAGCCCTTCACTGAATAAACTGCCTCTTGCTACAGCCAAATAATTCAAACTTTGCCGCATCAGTCCATAGCACCTGCTGTCATTTTTCTGTACCCGAGTGTTTTTGTGCATAGGACATGGGAACAAGGCTAAGTGACTCAACTATGCATGAAAACACAGGAACTGGGGTGCAGAGAAATGGCAGCACGTGCTCTGTACATCAAGTACAACTCTGACGAATTATCTACCTATTATAAAGTGTATCCTCTATTTACAGCAACTCTGGCACTAGAGTAAAAATTTCAAACAAGGTCTCCTTTTCCACTGCTAATGCCACCAATAATTACCTATAATGCTACCACCTCCCCCTCACTCCCCCTCTCTGTTGGGGTCCCTCAAGGCTCTGTCCTTGGGCCCCTTCTCTTCTCCATATATACCTCCTCCCTTGGCCAACTCATACACTCTCATGGCTTCAACTATCACCTCTATGCCGACGACACACAAATCTATCTCTCAACCCCCCACCTCACCCCCTTGGTCTCAGCCCGAATCACACACCTACTGAGCGACATATCAGACTGGATGTCACTCCACTTCCTTAAATTGAACCTCTCCAAAACCGAGTTTCTTGTCTTCCCCCCAGCCCGGACACCACCCCCCATTGACTTCTCCGTCACATCCAACAACAATACCATCAAACCCGCCCTGCAGGCCCGAGTACTTGGTGTCATTCTGGACTCCAACCTATCCTTTCAACCCCAAGTCCAATCTTTAACAAACTCGTGCAGACTCCACCTCCGCAACATCGCCAAAATCCGCACGTTCCTAACCCCAGAAACCACTAAACAGCTCATCCACTCCCTCATCATATCACGACTCGACTACTGCAACTCCCTCCTTACTGGCCTGCCTCGCCGCTGGCTATCCCCGCTTCAGTCCATCCTGAATACGGCTGCCAGACTCATTCACCTTTCCAACCGCTCTGTATCCGCCCCCCCCTCTGCCAATCCCTCCATTGGCTTCCAATTGCGCAACGGATCAAATTCAAAATCCTAACACTAACGTACAAAGCTGTCCACCATACTGCCCCGAACTACATCACTAACCTAATATCCAAGTACCGCCCAACACGCACACTCCGCACCTCACAAGACCTCCTTCTCTCTAGTTCCCTGGTCTCCTCCTCCCATGCCCGCCTCCAGGACTTCTCCAGGGTGTCACCGATCCTCTGGAACTCCCTGCCCCAACCCATCAGATTATCACCTACTCTCCTCTCCTTTAGGCGCACCCTGAAAACCCATCTCTTCAGGGAAGCCTACCCCACCCCCTGCTAACTTGCCGACCTCCTCCACTCTTTCTACCATTCCATCCCCCACAGCTATCTCCTCCTGTGCCACCATCCCCTCCCTCCTAGATTGTAAGCTCGAAAGAGCAGGGCCCTTGATCCCCTCATGTTTTGCATTGTATTGGTATTGTTCTGTCACATGTTCTGTCCCCCTTTGTAATGTACAGCGCTGAGCGAACTATTGGCGCTTTATAAATACTGTATAATAATAATAATAATAATTAGTGACATAGGGACCAGTGGATGGAACTACAATACTGATGAGGGAACCAGGCAACTAACTCTCCCACAACAAACATCTATAGGTAAAGTTGATCCAGGGAATATCCGATTGCCTCTTGGGGGATCAGGAAGCATTTTTTCCCTGCAGGAGCAAATTGGATCATGCTTTGCTGGGGTTTTTTTTTTTTTTACCTTCCTCTGGATCAACTGTGGGTATAGGATTATAACTTTTTTTTTTTTTAATGGTTGAACTGGATGGACGTTTGTCTTTTTTCAGCCAGACTAACTATGTAACTCTATCAAGTGTATCATTCCTAACTCAAGTTAGCTTTTCAGACCTGAAGAAGGAGTAATGTTTGCTTCTAAAGGTGTTCATTCCTAACTCAAGTTAGCTTTTCAGACCTGAAGAAGTAATGTATGCTTCTAAAGGTGTCCATTTTTTAACCTTTTTAATAAATTTGGAGCCTAATATTATTGAAGCCTGATGGAATTGACCTCTTCTGTTTTGCACTTTGTGGATACATATCATTATACAATCATTATGCTGAAATTAATATACACGGTATTAGGATTTGTGTTTGATTTTTCTGCATACATTGTGAAACCCATCACCCAAGCTTGTTTGCCACGATAAAAAGAGTGAGGAGGGGCTAAAGCTTCTCCTAAAGTGGTTGTAAACCCTTATGCCTAGTGAAGTTACTAGCCACAGGTGATACACAGCGATCATACAAGTTCTCCCACATGAGTTGTATCTGTTTATTTGCTGTCTTATCTTCTCCACATCTTTTCAAAGTCCAGAATTTATAAAGCTCTTCTGAGCTGTCAGAAAAAAAAGGGGGAGGAGAGCTGACGTTACTGTAGAGTTAGGTGAGGAGAGTTCTGAGAGCTGATTGGAGGAAAGGGACACGCCTTCCCCCTTCACACAAAATAGAGCACAAAAAATAGAACTGAGGTTGTCAATCACAGGCTGTATGCTTGAGCTCCCTCCCGTCACCTTTTTTTCCCTCTTTGTGGCAGGAAAACTTGTCAGAAGTGATTCATGCAGATAACAGTGGAATGGAGCAGCAGACAGAAATGACACTTTGTGTTCTGGATTGACACAAGTATACACTATAGGGGGATATGCTTTGTTTATATTTGAGGTTTACAAC